AGGAGGAAGAGAAGAGAAAAGGGGAACAGGTCAGTTATTGCACAATACTATCCAGGCCTGTGTATGTGTAGCTATTGCTGAAATGATTTCACCTCACGGTCTTATATTAAGACTGGTGATACATTTGTAGACTGTTATTTATGTAATATTCTGCAATGTGGTGGTTTTATTTGTATGTGGTGTAGAGATGGATGGCGATAGACTTACCTGACGTCTCAAACAGAATTTTTCCACTGCTCTATCATTTGCTACCTACTTCAGTCTGAAACATTGAAGTTGTTTGTGGTGACGTCAAAATGAGGGGTGTTGTACAAAACCAAAGTCATCAGCGATTGGATCATCTCTAACCAATCAGAGTATCAAAGCCAATGACACATTTTCCAAACGCTGCTTTACCCATGTGTGTTCTGGCTCTGGCCCAACCCATCGGTTTCTGGGACCATTCAGGTGGTCTGGAATGCATTTACATTCTGGAAATTGTCGGGGAGGTACTCAGATCCAGACTCATTGCAGAGAAGAAACGTCCGTGGGCGTGGCGTAGCGGTGGGCCAGGCAAGGGAGTGAATCATTTTGGGGAGTGTGAGGGGTGTCACAAGGTCTGGCCTGCTATGGTAACCAGTTGCCCTTCCAAGCCTCAGTGAGATTCCAACCATAGCTCAGTCACAAACTGGAACACTGATCTTTAGTGTGTGTGTGTGTGTGTGTGTGTGTGTGTGTGTAATGTAGAGAGATGCCATGTTTTTAAAGTGATAGCATGTCTCTCACTGGACTCCCAGAGGCAGGCTTGGACATGCTATGGTTGAGATGTAAGCCTGACCAGACTGAGAGCGAGAGAGGGAGAGCGCACTTAGCAGCAGAACTGTATTAATGTCAGTTAGGTTTCAACCCCTTTTCAAACGGCAGAGTTCTACACCAGGGTTCTGTTAGGGCTGCTGGTTATGGTTAGAGTTCGGGTTAGGTTGGCTGAAGATGGAGAGCAGAGAGAGATGTGTACATCGCAGGACTTCAGCATTCCTTTCTCTCATGGATGAATATGTCACTCTATGATAGAGAGACTGAAGTGGGGAGAGAGAAGAAGAGGAGGAGAGACTGGAGAGGAATAGAGGATTGATCGTTTCTCATGGATGTTTCATGTCTTATACCAGCCCCTGGTGACAACGGTAACATTGGACCCTCCCTCTCTCCCTTCCTCTGTCATCCCGCTCTCCAGGGATGCTCCAGTCGATGAGCCGCACACGGACCAAACTCCAAACCCCCCGCCTCGGACCAGGGTACCCAACACACAAGTCGACACGCAGCCTGCTCTGCCCATGAGAAGAGTCCCCCAGCCACCGCCTGAAATCAGTGAGTATACTAAACCCCATCCCATCCATCCTTAACCCCGACCCTAACTCCCTAACTTCACCTCCCTGATTTAACCCACCTCTTCACTGCTAACCCTACAATCTACTAACTCCTCCCCCTCTTCAACCGCTAACCACCTACAATGCTACGAACTCCTTCCCCCCTTCACCCATAACCCTACAATATACTAACTCCTCCCCATCGTCAACCCCTTAACCTACAAATCTAGCTAACTCCTCCCCCTCGTCACCCCTAACCCTACAATCTACTAACTCCTCCCCCTCTTCACCGCTACCCCTACAATCTACTAACTCCTCAACCTCTTCACCCCTAACCACTAACCCTTAACCCTACAATCTACTCTCCTCCACCAACCCTTAACCTTTAACCCTACAATTACATTTACATTTTAGTCATTTAGCAGACGCTCTTATCTCAGGGACGCCCTTAACAGTCGTGAGTGCAATAGATTATTTTTGTATTTTTCATACTGGCCCCCCGTGGGAATTGAACCCACAACCCTGGCGTTGCAAACACCATGCCCTACCAACTGAGCCCTACCAACTGAGCTACATCCCTGCCGGCCATTCCCTCCCCTACCCTGGACGACGCAGGGCCAATTATGCGCCGCCCCATGGGTCTCCCGGTCGCGGCCGGCTACGACAGAGCCTGGATTCGAACCAGGATCTCTAGTGGCACAGCTAGCACTGCGATGCAGTGCCTTAGACCACTGCGCCACTCGGCCAATCTACTAACTCCTCCCCCTCTTCACCACTAACACTACCCCTACAATCTACTAACTCCTCCCCCTCTTCACCCCTAACCCTACCCTTACAATCTACTAACTCCTCCCCCTCTCTTCTACATGTTTTTCTATTGCTATGTCGTTAATAAAGTGGTCAGCTGATGTTGGGATGTCTCTCTCTCTCTCTGTCACTCTGTTTTAACTTTTGATGTCATTGATCATAACTTATTGCTGAAAAAACATAGGTACCTCTCAATACATGATAAGGCAGACGGTGCAAATCCATAACACCTATCTAATAGAACACAGAGGGTTTTCGTTAATGGAAGCCTCTCTCATGCAAATTCAGTTGAGTGTGGTGTATCGCAGGGCAGCTGGCTAGGGCCATTATTGTTTTCTGTTTTTACAAATGACCTTCCACTGACCTTGAATAAAGCCTGTGTGTCTATGTAGGCTGACGACTCAACAGTATACACGTCGGCTGCAACAGTAAAATAAAGAACTGAGACACTTAACATAGAGCTCCAGTCAGTTTTAGAATGGGGAACTAGCAATAGGCTGGTGTTAAATATCTCAAAAACTAAAATCAAAATGTTTGGGACAAATCACTCGCTCAACGCTAAACCTCGTTTTAAATCTATTATTTAATAATGTGGCTATTGATCAAGTTGAGGAGACTAAACTGCTGGGTGTAACCCTAGATAGCAAGCTTTCATGGTCAAAACGTATAGACTCAATGGTTGCTAAAATGGGAAGAGGTCTGTCCATGATAGGGCGTTGCTCTGCCTTCTTGACGTCTCAGTCGACCAGACAGGTCCTACAGGCCCTTGTTTGGTCACACCTGGACTACTGTCCAGCTGTGTGGTCATGTGTGGCAAAAAAGGACATAGGTAAATTGCAGTTGGTCCAGAACAAAGCAGCACGTGTCGCACTTAGATGTTACATGGAGGGAAAGTGTCAGTAACATGCATGTCAGTCTCTCCTGGCTCAAAGTTGAGGAGAGATTGACTGCATCACTATTGGTCTTTGTGCGAGGTGTGGATGTGTTAAAGGTACCGAACTGTCTGTTCAAGCAGTTGGCACGCAGTTCAGACACTCATCAGTACAACACAAGACATGCAACCAGAGGTCTCTTCACAGTCCTCAGGTCCAGAACAGAGGCTGGGATACGCACAGTATTAAATAGAGCCATGACTACATGGAACTCTCTGCCACCCCAGGTAACTCAAGCTAGCAATAAAACCAGTTAAAAAAAACAGATGAAAGAACACCTTACTGCACAAACGGGACGAGACACAGCCATTTTATATATATTGTATTGTAATTTGTACTGTACTATGTATTAGACCTAGATATTGTGTGTATGTACTGATATGTAGGCTGTGTGATGTTTTTTATTTTGTATTAATGTGTATTGTTTAACTAAAATGTTATTTATGTACCCGGAAAGTTTCTTTTTACCCGAAGGACTAAAATCCCAACGCAATGGGACCTAAAAATAAAAAAATGGAATTTGACTTCTAATATAAAAAAGAAAGAATGGAAAAGTTTTTCTGTTTGTCCTTAGGAGAGAGATGGTATAAATTAAACTTGCTTGTTTGCGAAGTACGGCCCCCAATGCCAAATTTCCTTGATTTATCGTACGCACACTCTCGGTAGTAGCTGGCCCATGGAGCGAGAGGGAGAGAGGGGAGAGGAGAGCGCGAAGAGGAGGGAGAGCGAGAGAGGGGGGGAGGGGAAGGAGGAGCAGAGAGCGGAACGAAAAGAGAGAAAGAGCCCCCCGAGAGGAAAGAACCCCCGCCACAAAAAAAAAAACAAAAAAAACCCCCCCCCCCCCCCCCCCCACCACACAAAAGGAATTCAACAACCAACCAAACACACAAAAAGTCACCAAACCCCCCCAAACACTTTTCAGAAAGGAGAAGAGCCAGGAGAGCCCAAAAAAGAACAGAGAAAAAAAAAAAGAAAAAAAAAAGACAAAAAAAAAAAAAAAAAGAAAGAAAAAACCCCCAACCACAAAAAAAAAAAAAAAAAACCCCCCCCCCCCCCCCCCCCCGGGGGAACCCAATTTAAAAGGGTCCATTAAAAATTCAGGAACAAAAAAATCCCCAAAACAACCACCAAACAGGTGGGTTTTTTGGGGAAAACACAAAGAAAGGGGCCCAAGCACAAGCAATAGAGGTTGTAGGGGCCCAGGAAGGGGGGGGGGTTTTAATTTTTAAATCTTTCGGGTTTTTCCAGGGGCCGCACGGGTCGACCCCCCCCTAACCCCCCCGAAAAATTTTCTTGTTTTTTTTGGGTTGGGTTGAAAAGAGATGAAATGGATGTTCTTTTCCCTTCGTGTTTTCGTTGGGTTTGGGGGCTGGGTTGTTCATCTCTCTCGCAGCGACGATGAACTATTGGACGATGACAACGAGCCAATCAGCATCCGGTTAGTCTCCCCTGACCCCTGACCTCTGGTGACATCATTGTTCCTGTAGCGAGAGGGAGAGAGGAATAACAACACCTCCTAGAGTGGAGAGGGCGAGAGCGCGGAGAGAGACGGGAGAGAAGGAGAGAAAAAGCAGAGCGAAAAAAAAGGAGAGACGGAGCGCGAGATCCTCCCCGGGAGAGAAAAGCAGATCGTTCTCTCTCTACCTATCTCTCTCGCGTTCTCTCTCCTCTCTATTCTAACTCTCTCATCTCTCTTTCTCTCATCCTCTTCTCTCTCTCGTTTCTCTCTCTCTCTCTCTTTCTCACCGCTCTCGCTCTCGCTCTCGCTCTCTCATTGTCTCCTACTCTCAGAAATAGCTTGTGGCAGGACTATGGTCTGAGTACGCTCCAGGAGAGTGTCTACCTGCCGGTCACAGGCAGGGTCCTAGCCCAGCCCCCTAGAGATGGCCCCTCCCCAGAACCCTGCCCTGTTCTAAAGATGGGCTGGCTGGATAAGAACCCACCCCAGGGGTACGTAACACACACACACACACACACACACATCCAGTATACGACCCCCCTAACTGTGTGTATGTGTGTGCAGGTCCCTGTACTATCAGAGGAGATGGGTGAAGCTGGATGTTGACTACCTGAGATACTTTGACAACGACAAGGTGCAGTAACTATGAGTTCAGTTGGCCATCTACACTGTCCTGTTAGTCTATACATTAACTAGGTCATGATGTCCCCCATTAGTATTTCTTAGAGATGTGGTTTCTCTATTGATTGTGTGTGTGTGTGAGTGTGTCTGTGAGAGCGGTCCTATGAGTCATGGTGTGTTGTGTTGCAGGAAGTGTACTCTAAGAGGATCATACCAACAGCTGCCATTACGGGAGTGACCAACGTGGGGGAGCAGAAGTTTGAGGTGGTCACAACCAACCGGACCTTTCTCTTCAGAGCCGAGAGCGACTGTGAGTGTGTGTGTGTGTGTGTGTGTGTGTGTACATCCTTTGCTGTGTGTCTGTCTTTATATAGCCCTGTGGGGGTTGTGTAACAGATGACAAACAGCTAGAGTTCTCACCTGGCCTGAAAATTACAGCCCGATCCGATATCACAGAAATGTAATTAGCCCGAACCCCGATTTCGAGAAAACAGTATATTTGACTCACTACCTGGATTCGGTCTTATGTAGCAACATTTGAAATGCTGTTTTTTTTTACATTGGATAAAAGAAGAGACTAAGAGCTACAAAAATGGTATATCATACACTGCATTTTTTAGGAACAATGGGAAAGAAATTCTGCTTTGAAAGTTGATAAACTTGTAAACTCACTTTTGAGAAAATGGCCTTTGAATGTTTTGGTACACCTACTGGAGAGCTCTTCTTTGTCTACACCCATTCAGCATCGTTCACACCCTCTTAAGCTTTAGCCCTACCCATCTCATTTTGCTCTCGGAGCGTTCAGAGCGCACACTTGACGCTCTGACGGATGATTTGTTTAGCTCTGGATAACATGAAAACAGCCTAACCAGCTCTGCTGGCAACAATTTCATTAAGCTTTCTTGCCGACGTTTACTGACACCGGCCATATTCAACTGGTGTTGTACACTTTAGCTTAAGACATGTAGCTAGCTAGGTAAACAATGAACCTAGCTGCTAACGTTAGCTAATTAAACAACAATGAACATAGTGCCAAATCACATCGTTACTACCCTGCATGAATCTGCTGGGAGCTAACCAACCAGGTTCAATGTTAGCTAGCTAACATTAGGCTCTAACTAGCAAAGCAAACAGATCTGGGATACGAATAATAACGTCATACACGTAACATTAGCTAACATTAGCTAACGTTCAAATGTCTCTCTTGTGAAGTCGTGACTTGCGACATACACCTAGTTTCCTGAAACGGGTCACATATTGATTTAAACTGGTGTTGAGAACAATGCGGAAGAGGCGGGTGGCAGCCCTTGTCTTAGGAAAGCGAGGAGAGAGGAAACATGAAAACTCACCTTAGTTATGATCAATTACGAAAATATTGGAATATAGTAGGCTATGTATCACATGTCTGCTTACTGAAACTCCCAAAGTCATATCAATCCTTATAATAATTAAAGCTAGATGATCATTTCAGCACCGTTTTGACTGAGGCAAGCGTGGGAGACTCGTCTTCATAAATCAATCAATGTCCGATTCTTTGCTTTCACTGAATCTACGTTTGGATATTTGACAGCATGTAGGCTGGGGAAATGTTAGCTAAGTTGAGGTGAGTGCTAATGATCATATTTATTCTAGTTTGCTCATATATTAGCTGATCAGAACACTTTGCTAGCATGTTATGTACAGTAGCTTAACAAGTGGATTTTTCTCTTCATTCGCATAGTAGCCTGTGACTGTATCAATCAATGTGATTTTCTTTCACTGAATCTCTGTCTGTATATTTGGTTAATTGATCTCTGGCTGGGCAAATAAGTGGAGGTGGTATAGCTCATCTATCACTGATCAGAAATATTTAGCAATAATGTAGCCTAAATCAAGTGTATTATTTTTCTCTTGACTCACGTATAGGCTAAAGTAGCCTTATATCATCTATCCGCCAACAAGCTGTAAGAATGCGTCCTGTTTTATCTGTCTTAACGTAACTTAAATATAATCATTCAATCAGTCATTCATGTAGGCTAATTACACAGCATGCGAGTCATTCATGCCTTTAAATACAGTCAAGCATTTTATTTTGAAATGAAATAACAAAGGCACCCTTGAATAATAAAATAAACTAGATTTTCTGCCAAACATCCATTTGAATAATCGCTTAAAAGCCCTGTGTTTTTCAACGCATGTTTGATTAGTAAAACATTTGGATCAGTTATGGGTCCACTTTCGATAATGTACAAGGTCCAGCAAGGCACATTAGCAGGGCAGTCACAGGGTGTATTTTGTAAGGACGCATCGGCGTTAACAGATACCGTTAGAACATGGGCTTCTCCTCATTCTGTCGCTGTCTGGTGGATCATCCAGCCTATTCTTATCACAATTTGAAACATTTCACTCATCAGAAAAAAAAATACTTTCATCATAGCCACAAATATCTCTGGCCCAGCCAATGTTGGAATCCTGGCACTGCTATAGTGTCTGCAGCTGCTGCTGCTGCTGAGAGAGAGAGAGAGAGCCGTGGAACCACTTAACACAGCACAGCAAGCCCGAAACCCGCCCGGCCCGAATCAACCCCGCCGGGATGAGGATGAGAGCTCTAGAAACTAATCTGCCCATAATGCATCAGCGTCAAGCTGTTCATACCACGCTGCTGCATGCTAAATCACTCTTCTTCTGTGTGTGTGCGTGTGTGCGTGTGTGTGCGTGTGTGTGTGCGTGTGTGTGTGTGCGTGTGTGCGTGTGTGTGTGCGTGTGTGCGTGTGTGCGTGTGTAGCTGAGAGGAATGAGTGGGTGTCAGTTCTGCAGAACTTCACTAAGGGGCGCCAGGAGGGCAGCAGGGAGATTACTGCATCGGTCCCACCCTCCTTACTGACCCCTGGTTCACCCCTGACCCCTGAACAGCAGGGCTACCTGGAGCTGAGGGGCCTGCGCTCCAAACTCTACACGGTCGTCTCCGGAGACAAGGTCTTCCTCTACAAGAACGTGGAGGTGAGGCTGTGAGGGGGTGGGCCCTAGGGCTGTTTGATCCTAGGGCTGTTTGGTCCTAGGGCTGTTTGGTCCTAGGGGTATTTTAAATAATGTATTTGGAATTAAGTATTTAACAATAGTTTTGCTATTTGGGTCGTTCCACGAAATAAGTGCCTTTTGCGTCCCTTTGATATTTGAAGTAGAAATTGTGCACCAATATTGAATTGTAAAAGCCTGTTATATTAAATAAAGTGCCATTTAATATAGTCGATATGGAGAATTCAATAAATTAGATTTTTTTATATGAATAAAGGCTTGGTAAAGTGCCAAAATTCAGGCAACCCTGTGTCACTTCTAGGAAGATTTTAACCCACTTAATCCCAAAATGTCTTTCAAGTTTCACCATCGTTGTAAAGCCCTAGTTATTTTTGTTGCTTTGACAAAGTCATTTCTGAAGATGATTATTTATTTAATGTGATTAGTGATTAATTTACGTCTGTCACTCATTTTAAGGTGAACCCTGTTACGTGAACTAAACTCTCATTTTAATATGGTGAAACTAACTATTCCTTTTTAAATATTTTGTTTTCAAAAGAGACATTGAACATCTGATAGTCAAATCATAGTTTAAAAGCAGGTGAGCTGGTTTTACTCTTTTTGGCCATTTTCTGGTGTTTTGTGGTGGAAAACTGAGCGGGTCGAGTACAGGTTAGAAATGTTTTAGCAATTTATTTTTGTGAAGCATTCAATTGCCACTCCCTGTTGCACACGACAAGCTTACATTCCCCCTGTCACGAGGGGATTTATGTCTGATTGAAGAAGAAATCGTCAACCCTGTTACAGTCAACCCTGTTACAGTCAACCCTGTTACTTTTTTTGCACTTAATAGGCACTTATTATAGTAAAACATTTTATTTAACCTCTTGAGATGAGAAAACGTGTTTTGTTATGAATTTGAACAGAATGTTAAAATGAGGTGAAATCACAATGTGTTTTTTGGACCAAGTTACACTTCTCCAAAGGCACCGAGTTGGTGGAACGACCCATTTATTGGAAGTTATTTGAAAATAGTTTCAAATACTTTAAATAAAAGTATCTGGTTTGGCCACATATCTAAGGACGCATTTAGACAGGCAGCCCAATTCTGATATTATTTTCCAGTAATTGGTGTTTCGACCCATCAGATGTGAAAATATCCGATGTGATTGGTCAAAAAAACAGTGGATAAACAGATCAGGAGTATTAGGCTGCTTGTGTAAACGCAGCCTCAATAGCAAATACTTAATATGTATGTATTTGAACCCAGCTCTGATCTTAACGAGACCTGGTCTGATTGGTTGTTGTAGAGGGGGATGTCGGCTGTGTGATGTGTGTGTTCTGTTTCCAGGACTACCGCCTTGGCATTGGCATCACGTCTATTGACATGAACGTAGGAAACGTGAAAGACACTGACCGCCGCAGCTTTGATCTGACCACACCCTACCGCATCTTCAGGTACACACACACACACACACACACACACACACACACACACACACACACACACACACACACACACATACACACACACAATCAGAAATACAAAACAGCAAGGTTAGAGAGAGTGTGGCTAAAGAGAAGAGGAAGGACTAAACCACGAGCGTCACGCTGTTCTGCGGCCACATCTCTGTCTGTCTGTCTGTCTGTGTGTGTGTGTGAGTGTGAGGGTGTGTGAGTGAGTTCGGACATTTGTCAGTGTTCAGATACCTCTAAAGTATCTCGGATGTCTCCATTCTAAGTGTGTGTGTGTGTGTGTGTGTGTGTGTGTGTGTGTGTGTGTAGTTTTCTAGCGGATTCGGAACAACATAAGGAGCAGTGGGTAGAAGCGATGCGTGACGCGATTGGAGAGGCTCTGTCCAATAGCGAGGTGGCTAATCAAATCTGGGCGGAGCCTAGCAACGGTTGCTGTGCCGACTGTGGCGCCGCCAAACCTGAGTGGGCTGCCATCAACCTGTGTGTGGTGGTCTGCAAACGCTGTGCAGGTGTGTGTGTTTATTATCAGACAGTTGTAGATCTTTCAGATCCACTGACCTTTGGTTGGACTTATTTGTGTTGTAAACAGAATGCTTTATAGTGGTGCAGTCATAGAATGATGTATTTGTGTGTGTGTGTGTGTGTTACAGGAGAGCACCGGGGTCTGGGTCCCAGCATCTCTAAGGTACGCAGTCTGAAGATGGACAGGAAGGTGTGGACAGAGGAGCTTATACAGGTATACACACACACACACACACACACACACACACACACACACACACACACACACACACACACACACACACACACACACACAAAATACTTTATTTGAATCCACCAATCAAATTAACAAAAAAAATCCAAACATTTCAAAGGTCCCTGTATGCATGGCACTCAAGGGTACAGAAAGTACCTCCTTCTCCAAACAGCTAGGCTGCGCACGACAGCTGAAACACAGCAGTACCTAGCCAACTGCTTTGCACACACACACACACACACACACACACACACACACACACACACACACACACACACACACACACACACACACACACATTGTTTTGGTGTCCCTCTCTAACACCCCTCACCTGTCCCCCAGGTGTTCCTTTTGCTAGGTAATGAGCGTCTGAATGGGTTCTGGGCGGCGAACGTCCCTCCCAGCGAAGCGCTGAGTCCGACCAGCTGCAGCGAAGACCGCCGACTATTCATCAGCTCCAAATACAGACAGGGCAAATACCGCAAATACCACCCCCTCTACGGCAACCAGAGAGAGCTCAACAACGTAAGAACAACCTTCATATAAAAATTGATTTTTTGGGGGGTTGTATCATTTGATTTACACAACATGCCTACCACTTTTGTGAAACAAACAAGAAATAAGACAAAAAAACAGAAATCTTGAGCGTGCATAACTATTCACCCCCCCCCAAAGTCAATACTTTGTAGAGCCACCTTTTGCAGCAATTACAGCTGCAAGTCTCTTGGGGTATGTTTCTATAAGCTTGGCACATCTAGCCACTGGGATTTTTGCCCATTCTTCAAGGCAAAACTGCTCCAGCTCCTTCAAGTTGGATGGGTTCATCTGACCAGAGTACCTTCTTCCATATGTTTGGGGAGTCTCCCACATGCCTTTTGGCGAACACCAAACGTGTTTGTTTATTTTTTTCTTTAAGCAATGGCTTTTTTTCTGGCCACTCTTCTGTAAAGCCCAGCTCTGTGGAGTGTACGGCTTAAAGTGGTCCTATGGACAGATACTCCAATCTCCGCCGTGGAGCTTTGCAGCTCCTTCAGGGTTATCTTTGGTCTCTTTGTTGTCTCTCTAATTAATGCCCTCCTTGCCTGGTCCGTGAGTTTTGGTGGGCGGCCCTCTCTTGGCTTGTTTGTTGTGGTGCCATATTCTTTCCATTTTTTAATAATGAATTTAATGGTGCTCCGTGGGATGTTCAAAGTTTCAGATATTTTTTTATAACCCAACCCTGATCTGTACTTCTCCACAACTTTGTCCCTGACCTGCTTGGTGGTGCCCCTTGCTTAGTGGTGTTGCAGACTCTTTCAGAACAGGTGTATAAATATATATACTGAGATCATGTGACACTTAGATTGCACACAGATGGACTTTATTTAATTAATTATGTGACTTCTGAAGGTAATTGGTTGCACCAGATCTTATTTAGGTGCTTCATAGCAAAGGGGGTGATTACACATTCACGCACCACTTTTCCGTTATTGATTTTTTTTTAGAATTTTTTGAAACACGTAATGTTTTTCATGTCACTTCACCAATTTGGACTGTTTTGTGTATGTCCATTACATGAAATCCAAATAAAAATCTGTAAATTACAGGTTGTGATGCAACAAATAGGAAAAACGCCAAGGGGGATGAATACTTTAGCAACCTAACCTTCATTTAACCCTAATACAGCTATATGGCAACCAGAATAATCCTATACACTGCCATACCTCTCCAGTATCTATACCCCTCCACTATCTATACCCCTCCAGTATCTATACCCCTCCACTATCTATACCCCTCCACTATCTATACCCCTCCACTATCTATACCCCTCCACTATCTATACCCCTCCACTATCTATACCTCTCCACTATCTATACCCCTCCATTATCTATACCTCTCCACTATCTATACCCCTCCACTATCTATACCCCTCCACTATCTATACCCCTCCACTATCTATACCCCTCCTGTATCTATACCCCTCCAGTATCTATACCCCTCCAGTATCTATACCCCTCCACTATCTATACCCCCTCCACTATCTATACCCCTCCACTATCTATACCCCTCCTGTATCTATAACCCCTCCACTATCTATACCCCTCCACTATCTATACCCCTCCACTATCTATACCCCTCCAGTATCTATACCCCTCCACTATCTATACCCCTCCACTATCTATACCCCTCCAGTATCTATACCCCTCCTGTATCTATACCCTCCTGTATCTATACCCCTCCACTATCTATACCCCTCCAGTATCTATAACCCCTCCACTATCTATACCCCATTCACTATCTATACCCCTCCACTATCTATTCCCCTCTAGTATCTATACCCCTCCTGTATCTATACCCCTCCAGTATCTATACCCCTCCTGTATCTATACCCCTCCTGTATCTATACCCCTCCTGTATCTATACACCTCCAGTATCTATACCCCTCCAGTATCTTAACCCTCCTGTATCTATACCCCTCCACTATCTATACCCCTCCAGTATCTATACCCCTCCTGTATCTATACCCCGCCAGTATCTATTCCCCTCTAGTATCTATACCCCCTCCACTATCTATAACCCCTCCTGTATCTTATACCCTCCAGTATCTATACCCCTCCTGTATCTATACCCCTCCAGTATCTATACCCCTCCTGTATCTATACCCTCCAGTATCTATCCCCTCTAGTATCTATACCCCTCCACTATTATACCCCTCCCAGTATCTACATACCCCTCCCAGTATCTATACCCCTCCTGTATCTATACCCCTCCACTATCTATACCCCTCCAGTATCTATACCCCTCCAGTCTCTATTCCCCTCTAGTATCTATAACCCCTCCTGTATCTATACCCCTCCACATCTATAACCCCCTCCACTATCTATACCCCTCCTGTATCTATACCCTCCTGTATCTATACCCCTCCAGTATCTATACCCACCCTCCACTATCTATACCCCTCCAGTATCTATACCCCTCCTGTATCTATACCCCTACCAGTATCTATACCCCCTCCTGTATCTATACCCCTCCTGTATCTATACCCCCTCCAGTATCTATACCCCCTCCAGTATCTATACCCCCTCCTGTATCTATACCCCTCCACTATCTATTCCCCTCCAGTATCTATACCCCTCCAGTATCTATATACCCCTCCTGTATCTATACCCCTCCACTATCTATTCCCCTCCATATCTTCCCCTCCGGTATCTATACCCCTCAGTATCTATACCCCTCCTGTATCTATACCCCTCCACGATCTATACTATACCCCTCCAGTATTATACCCCTCCAGTATCTATACCCCTCCTGTATCTATACCCCTCCAGTATCTATGCCCCTCCAGTAAATCTATACCCCCCCTGTATCTATACCCTCCACTATCTATTCCCCTCCAGTATCTATACCCCTCCTGTATCTATACCCCTCCAGATCTATACCCCTCCAGTTCTATACCCTCCTGTATTATACCCCCTCCACTATCTATTCCCCTCCAGTATCTATACCCCTCCACTATCTATACCCTCCAGTATCTATTCCCCCTAGTATCATACCCCTCACTATCTTTTACCCCTCCTGGTATCTTACCCTCCTGTATCTATACCCCTCCCAGTATCTATTCCCCTCTAGTATCTATACCCCTCCACTATCTATACCCCTCCAGTATCTATACCCCTCCTGTATCTATACCCCTCCAGTATCTATTCCCCTCTAGTATCTATACCCCTCCACTATCTATACCCCCCCCAAAGTATCTATACCCTCCGTATCAACCCCCTTATCTATCCCCCTCCAGTATCTATACCCCTCCAGTATCTATCCCCCCTCCACATCATACCCTCCAGTATCAAAACCCCCATATCAAACCCCCTCCAGTTCTTTCCCTTAGTATCATACCCCCCACTATCTTACCCCTCCATTTATACCCCTCTTATCTATCCCCCCAAAATCATACCCCCTCCACATATACCCCCCCCATATCTATACCCCCCCCGTATCATACCCCTCCATATCTTCCCTCTAGTATCTATACCCCTCCACATTATCCCCCTCCAGTATTATCCCCTCCGTATTTACCCCCCCTTTATATACCCCCCAGTATTTTTCCCCCCTCCAGATTAACCCCCCCACTATTATTACCCCCCCACTATCATACCCCCCCCTTCAAAAACCCCCCCGTATTATTCCCCTTAGTACAAAACCCCCCCACTATCTAACCCCTCCAGTCATACCCCTCCGTATCATACCCCCCAGTTTTAATTCCCCTTAGATTTTACCCCTCCATATCTATCCCCCTCAGTATCTATACCCCCGTATCTATACCCCTCCAGTATCTACCCCCTTTAGTATCTATACCCTCAGTACTATACCCCTCCAGTACTATCCCCCTCCAGTATCTTACCCCCCCGTATCTAACCCCCCCAGATCTTTTCCCCCTCCATATTATACCCCTCCATATCAAACCCCCTCCATATTAACCCCCTCCACTATCTATTCCCCCTCGATCTATACCCTCCATATTTTTCCCCCCTCCATATCTATACCCCTCCACTTCTATAACCCCCCACTATCTATCCCCCCTCCACTATCTTTCCCTCCATTCTAACCCCTCAGTATTTACCCCTTAGTATTATCCCCCCCCCCAATTATCCCTCCTATCTTACCCCCCCATCTATTCCCCCCCCAGTATCTATCCCCCTCCAATCTATTCCCCTCCAGTATCTATACCCCCCCCGTTTAAAACCCCTCTAGTATCTATACCCCCCACTATCATTCCCCTCCAGTATCTATCCCCCTCCATATCTAACCCCTCCCGATCTAAAACCCCCTCCAGATCATCCCCTCCAGTTTATCCCCCCTCCACTTTTATACCCCCCCACTATCTTCCCCCCCACTATCTAACCCCCCCAGTATCTTTTCCCCCTCCTTTATCTAACCCTCCAGATCTTCCCCTCCAGTTTAACCCCTCCACTATTATTCCCCCCCAGTATCTTACCCCCCCCAGTATCTAAAACCCCTCCAGTATCTATACCCCTCCAGTTCTTCCCCCCCATTTCTATCCCCCTCCACTTCTATACCCCTCCACTATTTTAACCCCCCAGTATCTATACCCCCCCGTACTTACCCCCCCCGTACTATACCCTCCACTATCTATACCCCTCCACTATTTTCCCTCCACTACTAACCCTCCAGTATCTATACCTCCACTTTTATACCCCTCCCTATTAAAAACCCCCATATCATACCCCCCCAGTATCTATCCCCCTCCATATCAAACCCCCCCACATCTAACCCCTCCACATCTAACCCTCCATTTTAAAATACCCCTCCAGTATCTATCCCCCTCCACTACTAAACCCCCACATTATACCCTCCACTATCAAAACCCCTCCCATCATCCCCTCCAGTACTATACCCCTCCACTATCATACCCT